ATTTTGCTCCCACCTTGGAGCTCAGGGGGCTCATCCCAACCGTTGATTATTCCGGTGGCATCGGTACTTACCCGCTCTTGGTTTTGCAGGTAATGTTTTGTCAACTTTTTATTCTGTTTATTTATTTTATTTTCATAAAGTGAATCAAAGTACCAAAGCCATATCCTTTGGTTTGACGTTGGATTATTGGTTAATAGCTATAGAGCTTTTCTTAACAGGTGTTTATAGGCTTGAAGTGGTTGTATAAAAAAAGTATATCAAAGTTTCAAAATACAATTCTCTCTACCCAATTACCTATACCAGAAAAGTAAAAAAAAAAAAAAAAGTTGCTTTTGACTTTTTGAGCAACCATGTACTACCTGTAAGTTGCTTTAGAGTTCTTTTTACAAGTTGTTATTTTGGGGGTTACCAGTTCAGCAATAATATATATTAATTGGTCAGTCCCAAGTTTGGTGGAAGAAATGTCATGTTAAGATGAGGAAATAAATTTGGTTTTGTAGTTAAATCATTTTGTTGTGGCATTTATGATTTCAGCATTTACAATTATTTTATTAAGTTAGGTTATTAATGTTGACAACACTACGGCCTTAATAAATGTAATAATGCAGTACACTAAATTGATTTAGTCATTCTTTCTGGTTTAGCCATATGGCTTCTTTTTGGATGCAAGAGAGAGCTGTCTGTATGGCTTGAAACTAGAACCTCTTAGGATTTGACTCCTATATAACATAACTTTACGCTAGAACCTTTTCCTTGGAGAGTTGTTTTATAGATAAATTTTAATCTTTTAGCTGTATACCACAGTCTAAGTGGACTGCCCTTATTTATAGCACAACTTACTCAAGTAGTTGGATGACTATTGTAGGCCGTCCTGCATAAAAGTCAAACATTTTGAGATTGAGGGAACATACTTTGCTGTGTTGAGTGTACCGTCCTGCATAAAGGTCCCACATTTTGAGATTGAGGGAACATACTTTTCTGTTTTGAGTGTAAGTTAAGCACATGCTGTAGTTAGATTCTCTATAGTTATGGAATGCTGCGTGCCATGCTGTAAATAGGAGCTAACCTTCGACAGTCAAGCGTCATTTCTACTAACCAATATATGGTAGAATTCTCTCGACTGCATGGCTTACTTCAGTGGCCATTATCATAGAGGATCTGAAAATGAAGACGCTTTATCTTTGCACTTCAAGCATTTGTGAGTTTATATCAAACTTGTAATGATTTCTGAAATTACAATGGCCCTGTCAAAGTTCAATTCTGAAGCATGAATAGGCTAATTGTGATGTGAAATAGTTTGAATACAATTGTGCACATGACTTCTTTTTGAAAAAATGTGCACAACTATGTTGAGGTTTAGGTTTGTTTCTCATTGTAGATTGCTCATACAGCAAATTATAACCACTATTGCTATAGGTTTGTTTCAACGAACTGCGAAGTTGGCAGTGAATTTTGTTTTGTTTTCTACAGTCTTCTTAGAGAGTCAAGTGGCATAAAATTCATCACAGTTACCCACATGGACCCTATAATAGGAGGTGTGATGCCCGTGAAGAGATAGGCAACTTCAAAGCTGTCTTTGACAGTAAATTGAAGTGTAGATGCTGCAGTCCAATGATCCCTGCTTCAAATAGCAAGTTCTTAAAATTCTAGCTGGATTAATGTTTACAATGTCTGTTTCCTTCTGTGGCCATGCCCAGAAGAAAGCATTTCCATTTGGTCAAAATTTAGGAAGTCAGGTCCGAAAAGTTTGATCATTGTAATGGAGAAAACAGCATGCAGTAACCTCAGTGGAGCCTAAAAGGGGGAAAGAAAGAATAAGAGACTGTATTGGTATCCCATTTTTGTATTTACTGTTGTTTACCTCAAAAGAATTCATATTTAACAAAAGTTAGGATCTGAAGTGTGGATCTGATCTAGTCTTGTCCATTTAAGAACTTGAAAACAGAAGTTTTATAGGGAACTTTTGCTGAGAGGCATGAGTTGCTGGTTGAATTCAATTGCCTAGCCATTGACTTGAAACTGTTTAGAAAGTGAATAGCTGGATTCTTTTGTCATGGCAGTCCTTAGCAGCTATTAAAAAGGGTAACTGTATGCTGTGGGCAAACCAATCTGCAATCTGATAGTATTGTTTCTGTGTAAATATTAGGTTCACACTAAATTTGAACATCATGATTTGGATCATAGGTAATGTGGTCCAACTAAAAAGTTGAGTGAACATGTGCCTCATTATTTGTCATTACTGAAATAGAGTTCTTTGATGGTTGCAAACCACCTAAGAATTTTGCAAGTTGGAACCCCTATTCCTCACAAAAATATAGTGACCAAAATCTACCTACCTAGAATGCTTTGAACTTAAAGATTGACAGAGTAATAGATTTTCTTTTCTTATTGCTGTGAGGATTTAGATTGAAGTGATTGTCAAACAGCTTTTATTCTGCTACCTGGATAAGAATGACTTTTGTCATAGTTGTAGAAATTATCTTGGTGACATACCCATTAAATTTGCAGCCTGGATGTGCAAAATTGGTTGCCCATTAATAATTAGAGCTATATGCCATCAATAGGATATGGTTTAATTGTCTATTTCTCTGCCTTTGGGCTTAAGTGAAGTTAGGTTAATCCTCTAGTCACGATCTCTATCTGGCATGAGCAATTGGGCTGCTTTGAATTGGGGGAATGCATTGTTGGTTTAAGACATCTCTGCTTGCTTGCTGCTAATGATGAATTGAAGGTGGTACATCTCTTTTATAATGATGTAAGCCAAGCAAAGACATGGCAATATAATCTTTCCCTGTATGTTAAGAAGCCCAAGTTAAAAAAAGCAGAGTCAATCTATGCCTGATAGCATGGTTGTTTTGCTGCAGATAAATTTAGAAGATGATTTGGGGTAGGGGCAGTTTGAATATAAAATAGGAAAGACAAGATATTTGAGAGAAATAGATAGGGAAAAAAGGTAACAATGAGAACTTTTCATTGTTCTCAGTGTGGTAGTTAAATTGTCAGCATTGTAATCAAGATTTTCCCTTTTCAGTACTCTTCTTTGCGCACCACCTATATAAGTGAGACACCCCTTTAGTTTTCCCTTAACATCCTTGAATGATTTTTAATTTGTGAATATTCACCCTTCTTTTGCCTCCTTCTAAGTGTATGATATGAAGCTTTAAATGTTTAGATTTCATGCTCTTGTGAATGTGTTCCTGAGCCTTGGAAGCAAATATGTAATAAGAAGTTTTTGCCTTGAATTAGAATTTAGTCATTATGAATGTGGAGCTTATTGAACATGGTTTTGGTGTTTGATTCTGTTTAGGTCACGCATTTCAAATGCGGTGGAGCTTCACTAGGTGTTGGTATGCAACATCATGCGGCAGATGGATATTCTGGTCTCCACTTTATCAATACATGGTCTGATATGGCTCGTGGTCTTGACCTCACGATTCCACCATTCATCAATCGGACCCTTCTCCGTGCCCGGGACCTCCCTCAACCTCTATTCCGCCACATTGAATACCAACCACCCCCTGCAATGAACACCCCACCCCAATCCACAAGTCCTGACAGCACAGCAGTCTCCATTTTCAAATTGACCCGGGAACAGCTCAATGCGCTCAAAGCTAAGTCCAAGGAAGATGGTAACACAGTTAATTATAGCTCATACGAGATGTTGTCGGGACATGTGTGGAGATCTGTCTGCAAGGCACGTGGACTTGCTGGTGATCAAGGGACAAAATTGTACATTGCAACTGATGGAAGGTCTAGGTTGCGCCCCCCACTTCCACCTGGTTACTTTGGAAATGTGATTTTCACTGCTACCCCAACTGCACTGGCAGGTGATCTACTGTCAAAGCCAACATGGTATGCTGCTGGGACGATTCATGATGCATTGGTTCGGATGGATAATGATTATCTTAGGTCAGCCCTCGATTACCTAGAACTTCAGCCAGATCTATCCGCCCTTGTTCGCGGGGCACATACTTTCAAGTGTCCAAATCTTGGGATCACTAGTTGGGCTAGGCTACCAATTCATGATGCAGATTTTGGATGGGGCCGACCCATATTTATGGGCCCAGGCGGGATTCCTTATGAGGGGTTATCTTTCGTATTACCAAGTCCAACTAACGATGGGAGCTTATCTATTGCCATCTCACTGCAACCCGAACACATGAAAGTGTTTGAGAAGCTCATTTATGACATATAAATGAGGAACCACATAGAAACCGTATGGTATGAACCTGATCTATTTCAGATATGCCAGAAAGAAAGGTTTTTTAGTGAGAGGCGTGTTTCTTTCCCAATTTTTTCATACATGTTAATGTCATAAAGGCTCACATTTCAGTTGAAATGTACCTTAAATTAAGACTGCACCAGGCACAGGCCATATGCTGATGCATATAAAGACCTTGGACTGAAATTGTATTCCTAATTTGGTACAATAACAGTGTTGTTAAATATTATGACAAGGGTTGCCCCAAAAGGAGGTGGTAGTAATTTAACATTTCGTATATTAAAGTTCCTTTTGACAGGAAGATGTTGGATCCTGTGTTACCTTTGTTGCTTCTTTTAATGTATGCAAAACTAGGTAATCAGGATATAAGATCTTGTTGGAATTCGCATTGTCATAAATTCATTTGTTGGAAAGTTGCATTGCAGGGCAACTAGGATATGACTGGAGGGAAAAAACATTGATGCCTCAACAAGTTATGTGCCTTTGAAGCCTGTCATTGTTAGGATATTGCTCTTTAGTTTCCTTTGTTTTTTTTCACTCTTCCCACTTTCCGATACAAAAATCATGTACTAGTGGACTTGATATGTGGATATGTGTACTGTATAGTGAAGCTGTAGATGCAGATTTGAGATTAAAATGAAGAAGAACAGGGTTCATGATTTGTTGTCCTTGGTCTGAAAAGGTTCCTGGTTTGAGTATTTATATATGACAATGTAAATTATAAAATGGTCAAGATATTTCTTTTCCTAGGTACAAAAAACAAGAAGAAACCCTTATATAAATTGTAAAAAATCAATAGAAACCACCTGAAATTAAACTAGGGAATAACGATTGAGTTCTAACAATCAATTCATTACTAAAACAGCCATGTTGTAGTAAAAGGGTCAAAAATCTACAGAATAAAACCACAAACTTAGCAGGCACCAAGCCATTTAACCTTCGGCAAGTATAGCCTGTGGGAAGCTAGAAGTACATGTACTGCTATGAAAAAGTCACACCAGATAACGTATTCTTCATTTACAAACGAAGACATACAGCTTCAAACAAGGACAAAGTTCAATCTCTCGTTCTTTTTTCTTTTTGAGGGGCCGTTACATCTTGGAGATTGTGATAGCCTTGAGTAAGCCACCAGATCTTTCTGGTGAGTTCTCAACCAAGAAAGGCCTAAAATAGCTTGAGAAGTAAAGACGAAAATGCGAGGATAACGGTCAAGCTTACTTGCAATACAGTCGTTGATAAAAAGAAAGGTGGCCTGACTAGCGAGGAAGCTGCATTTTTTGCTGGACGAGGTCGGTGGGCGATATTTGCACCACCATAAGCACCCTTTCCTCTCTGTGATTTTTCTGACAGAAAATTGTCATGCATCTTCTCGTATTCTTCTTTGTCACCATTTGCTTCCAACCCAACTGTCCTGTTTAGACCTGCATGTCTCAACGCTGAAATTGCAACTGGTTTCAGGAAACACTAACTTAAGAAAAATGGTCAAAACTAACAAACAACGAAACAATCAGTTCCTACCATGAATCTCTTGTCCTCGAACAGCAGGTTCTGAGAGATTGAAATCTTGAGATTCTAATGTAGGAAATCCTTCAAGCTTCCAGCATGACACGGCAGTGGTGCATAAGAAAAATATAAACCATGGAAAGAACTTTAGCATCATTTCTTTCTGGTGAAAGATTTGAAAGACCCTTTTCCTGATTATTCGAGAGAAGAAGAGAGGGTGCTTTAGATTTGTAGGAACAAGAATGCAGGAATAGTAATAGTATAAGTATATATATATATAATGATAACACTGGAACAGACTGACTTAAAGGTATCGTTTAAAAGGAGCGAAAGAGCTTTTGCAAGTGCCAGAAAATACCCAATTTGCTCCGATCGGATCAGTTCCCATGTGTCATATCTCTCTGCGTCTGATCACTGTTTTGCCAGGTCAGTATGTCACGGGCTCCCTAGCTAGTGTTCACACTGTGTGGCGACAGAACATGATCTTTGATTTTCAGTATGTCCAGAAACGATTTGGACAGATTTCGAATGAAAAAATATACTGGTTCTAACCCCCATATGAAATTACTATTACCATTAGTGGTTAAAACAATCAAAATTGTGAAAGAGTTAAGAATTTTTATTTTTTGAAAGATGTTTTATTCCGGCCTACCAAAATTAGCCTCAAGCTGAAATTGCCAGAGATTCTTATTGACATTAAACCCAGTTTGACAAAAGAGAAATACAAGAAACGACAAACTGTGAACAATCTTTGACATTAGCCCCACAAAACTCATAGAGTGTCTATGATTGTTGATTTCAGCAATGATTGATCGAGTTATGATTTTAAGGAAGAATAGTTAAACAGTAATTTTGTAAAATTATAAATTAAATTAATAATGTAATTTAAAATAAAAATTAATGGATTTAAAATAATATAAAATCAAGTCAGTTATCCTGTTACCACTTTTGGTCCCTCTCTAATTCTAAATTAGAATCACAACTAGTTTCACCTAGACTTGTGAGGATGCAAAACTATTATGTACATCATTTCTATCACGTTAGACTGATGCTGCCTCTCTACAGGAAGAAATGAAGATAAGAAATGTATTCCTAAAAGTTAAATCATCTGTCATATTATTTTCAGTGCCAGGGTGCTCTGTATAATTAAATTGAAATCACAACATAGTGCAAGAAAAGCAACAGATTCACAATGAGATTTTGTGCTTGTGCATGAGGAAGTGAAATTATAGTATATGGGAAAAGAAAGTACAGTAGCATCTCTTCAGGATTTGCTGGTCTCAAAAGCTGATGAAACAGGCTAGAGGACATTAGAAAAGATGTGGTGCAGGAATAAAGCACAAGGGCTCAGTTTCTTTTCCTAAACTCAAGTATATGTGCGTGTTAGGCAAAAGTTGCAATCGAATAGGATGCCTATTTTTCTTTTTCTACCATTGGGCAGACGTTTCAGACTTTTCATAAGTAATGTGTTTACTTTATCAGCATATATTATATTTAGTGTTTGTTTAGTTTATTTTTTAATTTATCTACCTTTTAAAAATAGAGTTAAGTCAAATAAAATTTTTAAAAAATTCTTAAAAAAATAACTTTTTTTAAAAAAATTTAAATTAGCTTAAAAAAAAGTTCAAAGAGAAGCTTTTTTTTTTTTAAAAAAAAACATGTCAGTTTTTCACGAAATACATCTCTCTTTAAAAATCTAATAATATTATTACTATATAAGTTTGAAAGTTATTTTATTTTTTTTATAGATTTATTCGATTTTAATATCTGAAATCGTATATAAACTCAAAACGGATTTGTTCTATTTTGGTTTATTAAATTATTGAAGATAACATGAATATCTTTTTATAATAAATTTAATTAAAATTAAAATTTAAAAAATTTATTTTATTAAACAGTTTTAATATAATTTTAAAAGTTATTATTTTTTATACAAACTTCATAGTAGCTTTTAAACTAAAAATAGCTACGTCAAACAAGTTCTTAAAGTTCTCTACTCTCATTTCCTTTACACTATAAAATTATGGGTAAAATTCAAAGTTATTCGTAAAAAATGATTAAATGAAAATTAAAATTGAAAGAACAAAGGAAAGCAATAGGTTTATATAATTTAATGAGTAGACAAAAAATATATAATTATTAAACGTCGAACTTTGAGAAATAATTATTAATTTTCATGTAAATCATAGAACATACAAGCATTATTAAGAGTTTTACATAAATAATGAGAAATATAACAAGTTTATTAAAAGTTTAACATATAAAGCACTATTAAAATTTCAAATTACAATTTATTTGTACGTGGAGGAAAGCAAATTTTGATTTTTTTTTTTTGGAATAAGCAATTTTATTGATTTTGGATGAAGTTGAAATATATATATATATATAATGAGGAAATAAGTCCAATTTATAGTCAATTTATAAGTGAGAACGACATTTTAATGAATAACACTTTCACCTTATTCTTGCTATATTACTTTGTTTTAGTAGACTTTTGGTCAGCAAAATCAACTTCGTGAACTATCACAAAATTTTGATATGACTTTATGGCAATCATAAAATCGTAATTGAATTCAAAATATATTAATAAAAGATCATATTTATCTAATTTAAATATTTAAAATAATTTTTTTTATATTTATTATGAGTTAGAATTTTATAATTGTGGTTAAATTATGTTCAAATTTAATGATAACTTTTAAGGAATTAAAGTTCATAAGATCAAGACTCATTTAGCAAGGTCAAATAATTAAGGCAAAATACCTTTATCTTTTAGACTTTGATGATTGTTTATTTTTGAGTTTATTAATATTGAAAATGAACACCCTAAACATTAAATCTTATAGTTAATAGTTAATCTATTTTTCTGTTTATTTAATGACGTGACATAAATTTTATACTCAATCTACTTATTCCATTTACTTAATTTTAGTGTTCCTCTTCTCCAATAGAATTGCTTGTCCAAGACTTACTCTTCATTTTCTCCAATGGAATTGCTTCCTGTTGGCATCTTACATCTCAGGACTCAATTGGGCATTCCTCCTACCAGAATTACAGTTAACTAAAGAAAATTAAAAAAAAAAAAAACTTACCCAATGTTGTCTTTGCTAGAGAACACCTGATCAAATACACATTGATAATAATTCAAACATAACTGTAGCTTAAAAAAAAACCCTCAAATATTGAGAACAAACCTTTTCTCAAAGAAAGGTTCAAGTTTACTGGATGCCTTTAGTTTTTTATATTTCTCAATAAGCCTTTGCTTTCAAATTTTAAATTTTTTAAGATAGCTTGTGTTCCAAGACCATTCTTCAATCTTTTTGAAAGAGACCATTCCTCAATCTTCTTTAGCTTTTGATTATAATACTCTTTTATTTTTCTCCACTTTCTCAAAATAAAAAAGGTTCACCTTTCAATCTTTAGTCTTTCTCTTTGAAACTTTTTTTACCTAATTTTAAAATCTTCCAACAAACAAAGATATGGAAGAAGGCAGGCAACAAATCAAACACTTGTGGGTATTTTAGTTATTTTTTAAAATTATGGGAGATTTTGAAGCCAAGTGTTCATTTTCAATGTTAATAAATTAAAAGTGAATAATGATCAAAATTTAAGAATATGAATATTTTACCCAATAATTTAACTATCTTATAGATTTTACTGAAGTTTCTTTTTTGGCCAGTGATTCTAATGAAGTTTAAAACTATAAAATGGGGAATAACCCAAAGGTATTATAAACTCAATGATTTAGTATAGTGAAATAAAATTTCTTTATTGTCAAAATGTTGTTTTATTTTTCATTTTGTCCTTATCATTGGTTACAATTGCGTGGTTTAATTATAAAAATTAGACATATATTGAAACATTTAAATCAATAATAAATGCATATATTTTTTATTGACATAATGCTTCAAAAAATTCTTAAATTATTAAAAAACTATTCAAATAAACATTTGTTATTCTATAGCATTTGATAATAGTTGATTAACTTCTATTAATCAAAATACCATTTGTCATTTTTTGCCATATGATATTGATGTGGTACTGACATGGAAAGCAAAAGGTAGACTTGACAATTTGTGTTTTTATATCTTAATAATGTTATGTAATAAAGAGTATTAACAATTATATAGGAAGTACGAACATGGCACGATTAATTAATCGTGTTGGGATCTTAAACATGTACATGAATATTTTAGTCAATGTGTAACACGATATGACACGATTAACACGTTAATTAAACATATCGAGTTAAATTTTATATGATGAGACACGATTAATACGTTAATTAAATATATCGAGTTTAATTTTATACGATATGACACAATTAACCTGATTAAAATTTATATGAGTTATGACCTATTTAAATGATTAACACGATTGATATGGTTACATACAGAGGCAAAGGGGAAGGGGGGCTAGCAGGAGCCCCACTCTCCCCAAAAATTTTTATAACAACTTTTATTTTTTAAAATTTTATAATTTTTCCCCAATAATAATTTTATAGCATACTTTTATTTTTTGAATTTTATAAATTTACCCATATAATAATTTTATCTGTTATTTTATAATTTTTATAACATACTAATATATCATTTGAATTTTGTTTAGCTTGCATCTTATTAAGAAGTTGTTAGAGATAACAAATGACCTTTCAATAGCTTTATTAAAATGACCAAGATGAAAAGAGAAAGTTTCAGAGGCGTAGGAATTTCTGGTAAATGTTAGAAAAATTATTCCAAAAATGATCTGTGCATCAGTTTTAATACAGCGGGTAAAGAACGATTAGCTAATTTGCTTAACTAATAGCTTTAACTAACTTTCAAAACTAATCTAAATTCTTTGAAACGGTGCGTACAACCCCCTAGCTCTTTAGTTAAATAGGTTTTTAACACACCTGATGTCTTGCCACCTTTGACATCTTCTCTAGTGTTTTTCTTTAAGTTTTCATTTCTTCAAGCTTGATCTCAGTCCTTTTTCAAAACTCCCCCTTAAGAGGAGGAGTGGAGATTATGACCACTCATCTTGTTCAACAGCTTGTAGAATTACTTAGGCTGCAAAGCTTTGTTTAAAAATATATGCTACCTGCAAGTCAGTTGGTACATACATAGGCTTGATGGCTCCAACCAATACCATTTCCCTGATGAAATGGTAATCTATTTCTATATGCTTAATTCTTTTATGGAATACTAGGCTTTTAATGATGTGAATGGCAGATTGGCTTTTTGAGTACAACACAATGGCTTCATTATGATTTATCCCAAAATCATTTTGCAAATGCTTCAACTACAATAGTTCACAGCATGTTAAGGGCATGAAACAATATTTTGCTTGAACTAAACTGTTAACCATAATGGATTGTTTCTTTGATTTCCAGCCAACAAGAGATTCTTCTATGAATATAGTGGAACATGAGTGGGCTGAAACACATGGACCTAGAACACAACTAAAATAACAGTGGGGTTTTTCAAAACATGGGCTCCCCAAAAAGGAGAAAAGTATACAAACCATGGAATTTTGAGTTTTTAATTGTACAGTATCAAGGAGATCAAGCAAACAATCCCTATTTTTGGTGGAGAAACTAGTATATCATATACCAATTTTCATGACTCCTTGAGCTAAAAATACCATTCAGAAAGCAGGGAAAACATAAACAGAGTGAAACTACAGAGCATGTCTCTGTTTTCAACTTTCAAGACTCAATCAACCTCTTCAATCTTAGGGTCAGCAGCGGAGCCACCGGAACTAGCATTGCCAGCCCCACCGCCCATAGGCATATCCCCTCCAGCACCCTGACCCTGGTACATCTTGGAAATAATGGGATTGCACAAGCCCTCCAACTCCTTCAATTTGTCCTCAAACTCATCCACTTCAGCTAATTGGTTCCTGTCCAGCCACTCAATCGTCTCATCGATTGCTTTCTCAATCTTCTGCTTGTCTGCCAGATTCAACTTTCCAGCCAACTTCTCATCTTTCACTGCATTCCTCATGTTGTAAGCATAATTCTCCAGCGAGTTCTTGGCCTCAACCTTCTTCTTCACCTGCTCATCCTCTGCTTTGTACTTCTCCGCCTCTTGCACCATCCTCTCTATATCTTCTATGCTTAATCTTCCTTTGTCATTGGTAATGGTAATTTGGTTCTTGACTCCTGCCGTCTTATCTTCTGCAGACACATTCAATATGCCATTTGCATCAATGTCAAAGCAAACATTGATTTGAGGAACTCCTCTTGGTGCTGGTGGAATGCCCTTAAGCTCAAATGTTCCAAGGAGGTTGTTATCCTTGGTTCTAGCTCGCTCGCCTTCATAAACCTGGATTAATACACCGGTTTGATTATCCGAGTAAGTTGAAAAAACTTGCTCTTTCTTGGTAGGAACTGTGGTGTTCCTTGGAATCAAAACCGTCATCACACCGCCAGCAGTTTCAATACCAAGGCTGAGAGGAGTGACATCAAGCAAAAGCAAATCTTGGACCTTATCATTCCCTTCACCACTCAGAATAGCAGCTTGAACGGCAGCTCCATAAGCAACTGCCTCATCAGGGTTTATGCTTTTGCAGAGTTCCTTGCCATTGAAGAAACCTTGCAACAGCTGCTGAACCTTTGGAATTCTTGTTGATCCACCAACAAGAACAACATCATGAACTTGGCTCTTATCAATTTTCGAATCACTAAGACATTTCTCGACTGGTTCCATACACTTCCTGAACAAATCCATGTTCAACTCTTCAAATCTTGCTCTTGTTATTGTAGAGTAGAAATCAATGCCCTCGTAGAGGGAATCGATCTCAATAGTTGTCTGCGTAGTTGAAGACAAAGTCCTCTTCGCCCTCTCACACGCAGTCCTCAACCTTCTCAAAGCCCTTGCGTTGCCACCGATATCCTTTTTATGCTTCCTCTTGAACTCTGCAACAAAATGATTTACAAGCCTGTTGTCGAAGTCTTCACCTCCAAGATGAGTATCTCCAGCAGTAGCCTTCACCTCAAATACACCTTCCTCAATCGTCAGTAGTGAAACGTCGAAAGTTCCTCCCCCAAGATCGAATATAAGAACATTCTTCTCCCCGGACCGGGAAGCCTTTTTGTCCAATCCATACGCAATAGCAGCAGCAGTAGGTTCATTGATAATCCTGATAACATTAAGTCCTGCTATAGCACCCGCATCCTTTGTGGCCTGTCTTTGTGAATCATTGAAATACGCCGGAACTGTAACCACGGCGTTTTTCACAGTATGACCAAGATAAGCTTCAGCAACCTCCTTCATCTTGGTGAGCACCATTGATGATATCTCTTCCGGTGAAAATTGTTTCTCTTCACCTTTATATCGAACCACAATCATAGGCTTATCACCGGGGCCAGGGATGACCTTGAAGGGCCAAAGCTTGATGTCACTCTGAACAGAAGGGTCAGAGAAACGCCTGCCAATGAGACGTTTGGCGTCGAAAACAGTGTTTTGAGGATTCATGGCAACTTGGTTCTTTGCTGCATCACCAATAAGACGTTCAGTATCGGTGAAGGCTACATAAGAGGGAGTTGTTCTATTGCCTTGATCATTGGCTATGATCTCCACACGGTCATTTTGCCACACCCCAACACAGCTGTATGTAGTGCCGAGGTCAATACCAATGGCCTTCCCTTCAGCCTTTGACGCCATTGAAGTAATTTCAGCAAGAGAATACTACAAGAAAGAAGTTGGTTATGGGCTTATGGCAAAGAAAGGAGTTCTACACCCTGGTTGGATCTTGGGAATGTTTAGCTGTGTGAACTTTGGATGCTTTTTCTTATGGTTTTGGTTTCGATGAGGAGAGAAGCATCAATGGGAAATGTTTATATACATAAAGGGCTTGCGTAGCTGATGGAAAAGTTTACAGAGGTTGGTGGAAGAGACTAGGGAGAGAGAGATGAAGAGAGATCCGGAACATGCAGTGAAGAGGGAACACCAGAGAGTTCTGGAATGAGCGGTTGAAACTTGAAACATTTCAAAAGTGGACTGCATGTTAGTTGGATTGTGCTTGAAGTTCAAATTCTACCAATTTGCTGGGCTTAAGCTGATTATTGTTAACCTTTTTAGACTACAAATGGGCCCTGATTTAAGTGGTTTTAGTCTTTTAGATTCAGATAAAATCCTAAGGTGCTAAAAGAGCAGTGCATCATTCTCTGCCAACTTAGACACTGAAAAATTGGAGGGCAAACCATTAAAGTATTGGCACTCCCCATTAACAGGGTATTTTAGTATTCTGAGTTGAAATAGATGAGCAGATGAGACTTGGGACTAAGAAATAGCATAAACTTCTTGAAACTTCTAATTTGCTGACAAAGTAATGAACCCTATTGTTGTCACCATAAACCCTGAATACAATCTTGCACATGCAATGACAATGTGCTAGATAGAAATTTGCATCAGTGGTTCTAAAGAGTTGCTTGAATTTGCCCCTATGGGTTTCTTCTGATCTTGGGCTCCTAACAATCTTATAAACTAACATTATCAATATCTCGTCCTTCACCAATGGGCATTACTGCCTCTTTTCTTTCTTTTGGATAATACAGTTGAATTTTGTTCACATTCGCATACATAGAAGAAAAATATGACAAAGAAACGCAAAACACCATCTTAATTTGACCAAATTTTAAAGCAACAGACTACAGAAGAATTTTTATCGGCTAGTTTATCCACTGGCAGATACATGGGGAAACCTACACAATATAAGCATTTGTTGATTTGATAAGAGCTGGGTAAATTAATCCGCAGTCAAGCAGGAAAATTTATTGGCATGGTATCAATGGCATAGGTTTTCCAAACAGATCATGATATCAGTCCTCATGGCCCATTCGAATGTACAGAGGCATTACTGAAATCCGGTTTGCCTGGTGTAGTCGACATTATATTCTACAGCTGGCAGCTGGATGACATGCACAAAAGGGCATCAGCATAAGCAAACAAGAAACCTTGCAATACATGTTTAAACTCTTTTAAACAGATAGATGATGTGAAAATGCCAAAGAATAGCAATTCAAGATCAAGAAGTGAACCACATTGTTAGTGAGGAATACAACCTTTCAGGACTAAAGTAGACATAGAGACATCTAAAATAAATTTAAAAGAGTTTAAACGTCCACAATTGTTGTTTTTCCATTCTCAAAGAGCCAAAACAGCATGCCATGTTTTCTTTAATCCAAAATGTGAAACATGGAAAGGGGCCAACCGATGTAGGAAAAAACTGATAGATCATCACTCAAATTTAGTGTACTCACCACAGTAGACAAACTGGTTCAGATCAAGAGTAACCCTGCCTTGCTTTGCTGTATCAAATGCATTAAACAAATTCCTGCAAAAACGACAATCAACAAATGGATAAACAGAAAAAATATGATTGACATTACCTCTCTGTGAAATAGAAAAATAAGTACAAACACACTACGTCAAGAACTTTCAAATGAAGTGAAATTCAAGCAATTATGCCCCCATGTGTCAATGGCATCATGTATTTCATGTCTGTATTGTGTAGACCTAACTGTTAAAAAAAATACAAGACATCCTAGATGTTCTTCCACAACCCATATGTGAGTACCATTTCTCCCCAAAAAAATTATACACTAATTTAATTGGCTGTGCTAGACTGGCTGTATGATATTCAACACTTAACGAGCACTTCTGCAGATGTGAGAAATATTGTACCGAGCAGACTGCAAAAATATACAAAGTGATATGAAGTCATCCAGCTGAAGTCTCCCATTCTTCTTTTGATCAAAGCTCTGTCAATAAAGAGAAGAAATTGAAATGAATAATATCATATCTATCAATGCAAAAGATAGTAACTAAGATAACTAAATTCAATTCATGCCAAGCAAACAAACCACAACACAGTGAAAGGAAGGGCCCAATATCAAAATGGATATAAAAATCATGGGCTTGAAATTCATGCTTTAATTTTCAAAATAAAAAAATTCATGCTTTAAGAACACTATAACAACAACAAAAGAAAATTAGAAAACTAGAAAAAGGTTGGAAGAGGAATCCTACATAACACATTAACCAGAAAATTGGAAAATCTCAGAATGCTCAGTGAACATCAAACATAATGATATCAATAATGCTTTACAGCCTAGTGCAGTGGAAGAGTGCCCTCCCCAGCCTCTCTCTCAGAGAAGGACAGAGAATAAGAATCTATCACTGAGCTAATAATCTTATATGAAGATACAAGATACATATAATATAGAATACTATGAACACATAAGACACATGAGATTCTCCAAATTCTAGAAGAAACATGCCACACAGAGTTGACTTGAAACTCTTAAGAGTAAAAGGGTCAGTGCACTAACTTTATCACTATGTTTTAGAAGAAAAAACCAACCTTCCAGTTATAAATGTCAAATTATTTAGGCTTTACCTCACACGCTGCATAGAATGCAGGAGTGTCCAAAGAGAATCCAATTTTGTTTAGTGCCTGCAAAAAAGGTTGGATAATCACTAACCAGAACAACTAGAAAAGAAAGCAGAGAAGCAGAAAAATGGAAATAAAAACACTGTTAACAAGTAGAATTCGGAGAAAGTCATAGACTGTAGCACAAAATAAAGGAAAACGAAATATCTATTCGAAGCCTAGAGTACGTGGACTTGGTGCATGGTATTTAAGTTTCAAAAGACACATTGCTTCAAAATCTTCAGAATGTACCTCATAAACATCATCTGTCGAAAGGAATCCACGATTCCTGAAAAGTGAACTAAATCTACTATAAAACGAAAGGGAAAAAATAATGACTAATTTTTAAATGCATTAGGCAGAAAATTACCTCTCTAAGTCAGAGAAGGCTTGCTGGACCTACCGAGAAAAAAACATTAAATCAGACTATCAAAGTAGTCAAATAAGATGTTAAATCTTTACACACCATGAACATTAATTTCGTCCTGCCTATCATTGGGAGCAACACATCAATTGCATGGATTAGAAGATGACTTCTAACTGTGAATAATGCAAAGCTATAACAAGTATACAGTTAGAAGCTTTAGAATCATAATTGAAAAAGGGTATCATTTTTTCAAAGTTAAAATGCAATTCTTTTCATTTTTAAAAGGGGTGCAATCAAAAAAATGATGATTCCATTACTGAAAGTGCTAACCTTGATGAGGAACTTGTTGAGAGCAAGAAATTCTAAGCTTACCAACAAAAAGAATAAAGAAATTAAATTAATAAATAGAATGGAAATTGGAAAAAAAAAGAAAAGAAGAAATAAATTTATTGCAGAATGCAAAGTTCAATCAAACCTTCAAAGCTCATGGTACCATTTCTATCAAAATCATACATCCTGCGAATTTAAATATATAATTAATAAATAAAAAGGTGAAATTAAAAATAAAAACTGAGAAATTAAAAAAAAAAGAAATAAACCTGATCATTTGTTGGACGACAGACAGAGGAAAGTCGAGGTTACCGATGGCAAAAGCGCTCTGATCATCATTTTCAAAGTAAAAAAAATTAAAGTAAATCAATATTAAAAGGAAAAAATCAAAGAGGAAAAAAAAGGGACCTTGAGCTGAGTTGCTGTGATGCTCCCAGTTTTCTCTGAGTCAACTCGGTTGAACCACTCTCTTAGAATCACTCCGTCCTCCATGTTCAACACAGACGGACAGTGAGAGAGAGAGTTCGGAGATACGACTTCAACGGGGTTTTAATTTTCACCATTTATGGTTTGGATAACAACGACACCGTTTTTGCAGGTCAGTTCATAACGTTCTGTGTGTTTGTTTTAAAGATACATTAACTAATAAATAAAATATCTGAAATTCTGTACAAAAAACTGTTATCTTATTATTTTATAGTAAAATTAAATTTAAAATATTAAGATGAGAAAAGTTTTCATAAAGCCCATCAGATTGTTGGGAAAATATTAAAAAAAATCTTTAATATTTAAGAATATCTAATTAAAAATTATCATAAAATATAATTAAGAGAAATATAATTAAACAGGAAATTAAAAATTATCTATGAAGGATGGAATAAGATAATACATAATTAATAGGTAGTTTTATACCTAAGATTAAATTTTTATATGAAAATAATCAAAATATCAAAGAGTAAGTTAAAAGAAAAAAACCTTGTGATTTGGTTGAAAATAAATTTACTCCCTAAAATTGAAAATTGACCGTTAATCACTTGGGGCTCTTCTTTTATTTTAAATAATTTATTAACATTTTTAGCATTTCTTTGATGAGTAAATAGATGTTCACTAAAAATATTTAATCTTAAAGTAGTTGACAAGAAAGAAAAAAAAAATCAAGAGAAAGGAGCTAAGTGTTAGATGTTAACTTGAACTAAATAAATAAATTAATGATAAGAATTAAATATATATACAAAAGTTGCCAAACTTTAAATAATGGCATATTTGTAATTTAACCAAACGTTAGCCAATGAGCCTCACATTTAGTAGTTATGATTGATTGATTATTTTGTAAAGGAAATATTGGTATTTTATCGCATGAGATGACAACATGTTACGTGATTGGCCCGGCGCAGACCCACACTCACATATCCTTCTAGACACCCATACCTACTAAGCCACCTCACCCTCTTCTCCAGAACTCTCCAGGTTTTCCCCCCTTTTTCTGCTTTCTTCTTTTCTTTTCATCTCCTTTCTACTCTCCTCTCGAAATTTCTTCATGGTTCCAACCCTTTTCGTTTTATATATTATATATATAACTCGCTTCCCCCACAGAATCTCCGATCAGAACAAATTCCTCAAAGCGATCAGAACAAAGCTCACATAGAAAAACCCAACTAATCTCTCACTTCTCTGGTATAGTTTTTTCTCCTTTTTCTTCAACAAATGGCTGCCAAAGCTCAAGGCAAGGCAATTGGGATCGATCTCGGAACCACATACAGCTGCGTTGGAGTGTGGCAAAACGACCGCGTGGAGATTATAGCCAATGACCAAGGCAACAGAACTACCCCTTCTTACGTAGCTTTCACCGACACTGAGCGGCTCATAGGCGATGCGGCCAAAAACCAAGTCGCCATGAACCCTCAGAACACTGTCTTCGACGCTAAACGTCTCATTGGTCGTCGTTTCTCTGACCCTTCTGTGCAAAGCGACATGAAGCATTGGCCTTTCAAGGTCGTTGCTGGCCCTGGTGACAAGCCAGTGATTGTGGTTACATACAAGGGTGAAGAGAAACAGTTTGCGGCGGAAGAAATTTCTTCTATGGTATTGACCAAGATGAAGGAGGTCGCCGAGGCTTATTTGGGCCAAACCGTGACAAATGCGGTTATTACAGTTCCTGCTTATTTCAATGACTCGCAAAGGCAGGCTACCAAGGACGCTGGAGCCATTGCAGGGCTTAATGTCATGAGGATCATTAATGAGCCCACGGCTGCTGCTATTGCCTATGGTTTGGACAAGAAGGCCTCGAGGTCGGGCGAGAAAAACGTTTTGATTTTTGATCTCGGAGGAGGGACTTTCGATGTTTCGCTGTTGACGATTGAGGAAGGGATTTTTGAGGTGAAAGCTACTGCAGGAGATACTCATCTTGGAGGTGAGGACTTTGACAATAGGCTGGTCAGTCATTTTGTTCAAGAATTTAAAAGGAAGCATAAGAAGGATATTAGTAGCAATGCAAGGGCTTTGAGAAGGCTGAGGACCGCGTGTGAGAGGGCAAAAAGGACTCTTTCTTCCACAACTCAGACTACGATTGAGATCGATTCACTTTACGAAGGTATTGATTTCTATTCTACCATTACGAGAGCGAGATTTGAGGAGTTGAACATGGATTTGTTTCGCAAGTGTATGGAGCCTGTTGAGAAATGTCTTCGAGACTCCAGGACTGACAAGAGTCAGGTTGATGAGATTGTTCTTGTTGGTGGGTCGACAAGGATTCCAAAAGTTCAGCAACTTTTGCAAGATTTCTTCAACGGCAAGGAACTTTGCAAGAGCATAAATCCTGATGAGGCAGTTGCTTATGGAGCTGCTGTTCAGGCGGCTATTTTGAGCGGTGAAGGGAATCAGAAGGTTCAAGATTTGCTTCTTCTTGATGTCACGCCTCTCAGCCTTGGTATTGAGACTGCTGGTGGCGTAATGACAGTCTTGATTCCAAGGAACACAACGATTCCCACCAAGAAAGAGCAGATTTTCTCAACTTATTCTGATAATCAGCCTGGAGTTTTGATTCAGGTATATGAAGGTGAAAGGGCTAGAACCAGGGACAACAATTTGCTTGGCAAATTCGAGCTGACAGGCATCCCACCAGCACCAAGAGGTGTTCCTCAGATCAATGTCTGCTTCGACCTTGATGCAAATGGTATTCTGAATGTGTCTGCGGAGGACAAGACTGCAGGAGTGAAGAACAAGATCACAATTACTAACGACAAGGGAAGATTGAGTAAGGAAGAAATTGAAAAAATGGTGCAAGAAGCAGAGAGATACAAAGCAGAAGATGAGGAGGTGAAGAAGAAGGTGGAGGCGAAGAATTCCCTTGAGAACTACGCATACAATATGAGGAACACCGTGAAAGATGAGAAGTTTGCGGGAAACTTGATCCCTCAGACAAGCAGAAGATCGAGAAGGCTATTGATGAGACTGTTGAATGGCTAGACGGGAACCAATTGGCAGAAGTTGATGAATTTGAGGACAAGTTGAAAGAATTGGAAGGCATATGCAATCCAATCATTTCAACGATGTACCAAGGTGGGGGTGGAGATGTGCCAATGGGTGGTACTGAGATGCCGAACAGTGGATATGGCAAAGCTGAGTCTGGTGGTGCTGGTGCTGGACCCAAGATTGAGGAAGTTGATTAAGTCTCATGAAATGGGATTTTCCAGGATGTTCTGCTTGTGAGACCTGCTGCTCTTCGCTCTTTTTTCCCTTTGTTTTTGCTTCTGTCTAGTGGGTATCTATTTGCCTAATGGTTTAGGTGAGGTTCGAGAGAGATACATAAATGAAAACTTTGTAGCAATGTAATAAAAAGTTTAAAAGTATTTTCAATTCCCTTTCCATTTGTGAGCTTTTTAATTGATTAGTTAATTTTTGTTGGCTTCCCTGCATATTCCTTCAAAGATATCAATTTACTACTCAAAAATCCCAATTTCTGCAAGAAAATTGAGAGGAGTGATCTAGACTTGGCCACTGAGTCTTTTGCTTTAAGATTTTAACAAGGGTTAATTTACTAATTAACATGGGCATCAAAGTAATTATCTGATAACTACATTTTTCTCATCTTAGTAACCCATAACTCTTCAGACATTCAAATGTTATTTGTCCATAATGAAATCCCATTTCAAACAAAGGGAGTGGAATCACCAGCTGCAGCAAGGCAAATTCTATAGTGAGGTTATCATTTTTGACCTTACTATAAGGTCAATTAATAAATATCATTTGATTTATAAAATTAAATTGTAGCTATCGATTTTAAATTTATAAAGAAACTAGTAAACAAAGTCAACCAATAAATTAGACTCTTTTTATACCTTATTAATAAAAACTATTTATTTAATGATTGAAATTTCATATTATAAATAGAATTATTATTATAATAAATTAAAAAGTAAAAATTAAAAATAGATAATAATAAAAATAAAAACACATGTAATTTAAAGTTGTTATTAAAAGACCTAAACGTAAAGTTTTTAAAAGTTATGATTAAAAATCTTTAACTTAAAATAATAAGAATTGACATAAAAATTCGTAAAAGTGGAGTAATTAAATTTAAAATTTTAATATAAATATATAAGAATTAACGTAACAAGTCAATTAAGAAAAATAATCTAATTCTAATAAAAATTAAATATTTAAATTTATATTTTCAGATTAAAAGTGTTTAACGATATATAAATTTTAATTTTCAAATAAAGAATAATAATAATAAAATAATTATAATTCAAAATTAACATAGATAAACTTTGACATAAAACTATAATAATTGATGTAAAAACTTATAAAAGTGGAATAACTAAATTTTAAATCTTAACATA